TTTTTTTTTTTTTTTACTAACAGTGCCCCGAGACATTTCTTGTGACTTGGCACTATATAAATAGACTGAATTGTATTGAAATGTTTCTAATCTCAAAATAAATCTGAAATTTTTTCAAGGAACATTTGCTGATGGCTAAAAACTTAAAAACAGATTTTTTAAAAATGCAACTTTTTGGTAACAACTTTCTTCCAACTTTTCATCCTAAATAATTTATCCTATTGTGTTATATGTTGAGTAACAATCCAGAGTTTTATCATAAAGCTCTTACAGGTTTCTGAACATACCATGCATGGACAGTCACAGAGGAGCTCAGGTTGAGGAATGGTTGCTTAATGTGAGATAAAGAACTCCCCGGAGTGTTGAGGAATGAGGAGGCCTAAAACCTGCTTGGGAGCTAACATCACAAGCAGGATGATGGACACGCGCGCGGCATTATAGCTGCCGCGCGCGCGCGCGCGCACGCACGCACACACACACACACACACACACACACACACACACAAAAGGCCATACAGGGACGGGACTCCTCCAAATGAAGATAACATCTAAACAAGCCTTTGTCTGAAGGACCCGAACCCACCCTCCTACCTCCTCCTCCGGTTGGTCATCATTATTCAGCCCCTTCCCCCACCCAGTCYCTGCTCCCTTCAGCTCAGTCACCATCCATATAAACCCCGCCGCCGTCTGATTCTGCTCCCTCCTTCGGTCAGCGGATAACCTTACCTGGCCGTCCGCCTGAAAACCATCTCGGTGAGACCGGGCCGGGGCTTTAGTCGAGCAGCTGCAGAGGGACCGGTGCATTTCGGAGTGTACGGCTAATCCACCGCCAGGCCGGGCCATGGACCCAGAGCAACCCGGAGCCTGGTCCTGCCCTGTGGGGGACGCTTCTGTTCTCGCAGCTCCTCAGACTCGAGACCCGACCCACTCCCCCGCCGACAGTCTGAAAACAGAGCGGGGGCCCCCACTTCCGGATAGTAACACAATAAAAGCTTTCCAGGTCTGACTTGATCCGACTTCCGGATAGTAACACAATAAAAGCTTTACAGGTCTGACCTGATCCGCCGATGGTCTGAAAACAGAGCGGGGCCACCACTTCCGGATGTTAACATAATAAAAGCTGAACAGCTTCGGGATCCTATCTGTTCCCTCCCCTCTCAGCTGTTGGATTTTGAAACCAGCAGGATCCTACCTGTTTAAACTGGAGCTGCAAAGACAAGTGAAATACAACATCAGCCTAAAAATTAATTAATTCTGCTGCATGCAAAGTAGTTCCTCCTCATAAGTATATAGATAATTTACATACTTATGAGTAGTTCCTCCTCATAAGTATGTAAATTATCTATATTTGTTTAAAAAATTGACAGGGTATTTTGCTTCATACTTTGATGTTTTGTGCAAAAAAAAAGGATCTTTTTTCCCCTTCCTGCAGGTTGAGGATGTGTCTTGTGAAAACAGTCCAGTCTTATATTTAAATCAGCCAAATGAACGCCTTCTGTACCCACATTTACTCAGAAAGGCGTGGTTTTAAAWTTTCGTGTGTAAAATCAAACAAACAAGCACACAGTTTATTGGAATGAATTTCTAATTTGATCATAAGTAGGCCTTTTAACTCGCCAAAATAATTCAAATAAAAAAGTAAAAAGGGGGACAAAGAAAGGGAAACATTTATTAAAACTGTTAGAAATAATGAAGTGGTGCTTCCTCTGACCATACTGAGCGATGGCAACTCATGGCAGTGTTTCATAGAGCTGTTTGATCTTGAGCAAATGACATCATCACACATGTCATCACATCACATGGACAGATGTGTTTTGTCAACCAGAACCCCCTCCCCTTTCCCCCTGAGAAGCTGGACTCCACCGCTCTACAGTTAATAAGTTCACTTGCTTGGAAATTTCCAACCCCAGTTTTGCTATTTAAATCATTTATTAGGAACCGAGGTGTCAAGTAACTAAGTACAAATACTTTGTTACTTTACTTAAGTAGTAATTTTGGTTGTTTATACTTTAGTGGAGTAATTATTTTTCAGCCTACTTTTTAATTCTACTTCTTACGTTTTAATTCAATTATCTGTACTTTCTACTCCTTACTTTTTAAAAATGCAAAAAGTATTTCATTTTTATTTAAACTTTACTTGTTTTTATTCCATTTTTCTATTGTTCAGATAAAAATTAATAAATATAAATCTATCCAGACACATGGAGCCCATGGATAGAGT